CTTCTACGTTACTTGCTCCGTCACCCCGACGTCAATCGCCCCTCCATCAGCCATTAGTCAAGGCTCCAACACCTCTGCTGAGGGGAGGTTGTCGCCTCGTTGGCATCTTCCGCTCGTTCAGATGCTCCTTCTCCTGTACTCCTCTTCACGGATTCCGTCATGCAGTCTTTCTTGGAATCCGTTTCCAAGATGACAAAACAGTTTGCGAGCACGCACCCGACGGTGCAAAATGCTGAACGTCCTCCTGTCCACGATGGCTGGTGCTGCAGTCCCTCCCTTTGACAAGTGGCAGATTGGACCGATCCTCAGTACTTGCAGGCCCCACCACATTCTCCTTTCAGAGAAATGATGGCTTGTGCCTCGGCGTCATCGCGCGCGCATGGTGGGAGATTGCCAAGCCGTCATTTCTTCGCCCAAAAATGGCAGTGCAGCCCTTCACATGTAGAAGACATGGTGGGCCAGTCTTTGAGGCATGTCGGTCTCTGCCCCAAAGTGCACTGGGCAGCGCCGACGATGTGGAAGCTGTAACTGAAACGGTCAGGGACAGTACATGTCATTTACGGCCCACTGGTGAACGTGGTGCGTCACAAGCCGCACCAAGTGCACTTTCAGGTCACGCCGCTTTTGCTAACTCCACGTTTGCACGTCCTTGGACCAGGGCAAAGGGGGATGTCCGGCCTCTACCACCTCCTTCTTCCCGCCGTAATCCTCAGCCGCCACCCCCCGGATCTGCGGGCCAAGTCCCATTACCCGATCCCGGCATATCAACTTGTGCAGGGCGCGCAACGGGTGTCACGCTGTTCTGCACCTGGTATGCCTGGCGAACCGTAGTCACACAGGGGAGGAAATTCTGTGTGTTTGTAATGAACAGAGGAAATCGACAGATGGCTGTCTCCGCGCAAACTGAAATCGGGAACCATGTTTGGACCGGCAACGGAAAGAACATGGTGTCTGCTCTGCGTCAAGGAAGGTTGTGCCATGCGCCATGCATGGCTCACGTGGTTCAATCTGGTTGTCAAGCGGTTCCTAAAAATCCACATCCACACTGCAAGACATCCTTTAAAATGTCACGTACAACTTTGCATGCATTTCAGCCATTCCTTCACCGCAAAGCACACCCTCCTTGAGGCTGCAGCCAGGCAGAACGGAATTCCACATCACGCCTGATCTGCGACCGTTGGGAACATTCAACCCTACACATGGTGGAATTCAAACCAAAAAAAAATTAGAAAAAAAAAAGAACATGTCATTTAGGACCGCCTTTTACGAGCAGCGAAAGGCCATCACCGATTTTCCTGATGTTACAAGCGGATAAAGGTACTCCCCTGTGTGTCAACTTCGATGGTCAGCCATTGGGCAGCGGCATGCGTGACACCTGCCGCTTGCTCAGGCCCTTTGAGGAGGCCCACGCTATTCGTGAGGTCTGCAGGACTATGGGTTCGATGAACGACGTCATTCCTCTGTTGCACGTTCTTGAACAAATGCTGTTAAACTAATGGCTGGGTCAGGGTGCGGTAGCGGGGTGACGTGGCGCACAAGATCCACTCAGGGGTCGCCACATGACCCCTGTGGGGGCAGGACAGGAAGAAGAGGAGGAGGTAGAGGAGGACATTTGTGCTCAGGAATTATTGAGTGAAATGGGGGTGGTGGTTTTTCCACTCAGCGGACAGGAGTGGAGGAGCAGGAGCCATCTGGTAGAGGAGGAGGAGGAGGGAGACAGAGGACCCATGGACGCACCTGTGGCAGTATGCTGTGTGAGATGGAGGCAGGGAGTCCCTCGCATTCCTTGGCACTTTTCAAATGGCCCATAGCATGCTCGGTTGCCTTGCGTTTAGCATAGGACAGTTCCGAAATAATAGACCATCAGACAGCGGGGATGACTTTTGGCTGTCCACCTTGTTGGACCCATCGCTACCGTTCTAAATGGTGGGCCTGGGGTTTTCTACACCTGCTGAGAGGGAGGGCCAAAATAACGTACTATAAAAACCACCTATGTAGTCCAGTTGGCTCTGCCATTGTGCGCCAACGTCCATCCACAGACACTGTGGGCCCTGTGCGCTCGCGCGTTCACCGCTGCCATGGCAGCAGGGGAGGGGTGGGGTGGTTAGGAGCAGTGGCAGCATCCACCAGCAGCGGCTGCCTCAGTCTGCAGTGGCCGATGATGAGTAGCTTTCTTCACTCAGCGCAGTGATGGGAAACTACTAACCTGCCGCCTAGCAGCAGCAGTCATCAGTGGACCTGGGGATTGAGTTCAGGACTCAAAAACAGGGGGGGGCTTGGGCCTACTTGGACAGCACCGTGCCAACCGAGGGGAGGGGTAGACAATCCCCTTGACTATGGGGCAACGTGAACTTGACCTTTGGCTCCCAACTAGGCTGAATTTGCCCTTGAAAGGCTGTCATGCCGGCCAGTAGCGTGGCAGATCGGAGCGCGTGTTTAGTGCGGCAGGAGGTATTGTAATCCAAACTAATCTGGAGGACCACGACTGTCCCATCCCAAAGTGTGGAGAGACTCACGTTTGTGAAAATGAATCAGGCGTGATTAGTCTGGATTTCAAACCACCAGTTCCTGACACAACTGACTAAATCTATCCGCTATTGAATCATGCCTGCAAACATGTGCCACTTTCAGTCTCCTCCTCACACTGCTGGTGTGTAGAATTTTTTTGACATAGGGGTGCTGGCAGATTACGGGCCTCCTATAGCTTGCTGCCTTTTTAAAGGCCCTAATCTGGCGGGCCATAGGCCCCTATATACCGCCTCCTCATGCTGCTGCCAGGTCCAGAGTCTCTCATGGGTCCCTGTTAACGGCCTCACCATTGCTGCTGTCTCATCACCACACTCTGCCATGTGCCACTTTCAGGTCTCCTCACACTGCTGGTGTGTTTGAATTTTTTTGACATAGGGTGCTGGCAGATTACGCGGCCTCCCATAGCTGCTGCCAGGCCCCTAATCTGCCATGGGCCCCTATATACCGCCTCCTCATGCTGCTGCCAAGTCCCAGAGGTCGGTCATGGGTCCCTGTAGCCTCCCATTGCTGCTGGTCTCCATCGCCACACTCTGCCCATGTGCACTTTCAGGTCTCCTCACACACTGCTGGTGTGTTCAAGGTTTTTTTGACATAGGGGTGCTGGCAGATTACGGGCCTCCCATAGCTGCTGCCAGGCCCCTAATCTGCCATGGGCCCCTATACCGCCTCCTCATGCTGCTGCCAGGTCAGAGTCTGTCACACGTCCCTCTAGGGATGGTCATGCCATGTGCCACTTTCAGGTCTCCTCACACACTGCTGGTGTGTTGAATTTTTTGACAAGGGTGCTGGCAGATTACGGGCCTCCCATAGCTGCTGCAGGCCCCTAATCTGCATGGGCCCCTAAGGAACCATACCGCCTCCTCATGCTGCTGCCAAGTCCAGAGTGTGGTCATGGGTCCCTGTTACGGCGGGTGTGGCAGATTACGGGCCTCCCATTGCTGCTGCCAGGCACGTAATCTGCCATGGGCCCCCGTACCGACTCCTCATGCTGTGACGTTGCAACAAGGTGGAATTCAACCCTACATATGTTAGACCGCCTTTACGAACAGCGAAAGGCCATCACAGATTTCCTGATGTTAAAAGCGGATAAAGGTACTCCCTGTGTAACTTAGATGTCAGCCATTGGCAGCTCATGCGTGACACCTGCGCTTGCTCAGGCCCTTTGAGGAGGCCACGCTATTCGTGAGTCGGCAGGACTATGGGGATGAACGACGTCATTCCTCTGTTGCACGTCCTGGAACAAATGCTGTTAACAATGGCTGGTCAGGGTGCGGTAGACGTGGCGCACAGATCTCAACGCCACATGACCCCTGTGGGGGCAGGACAGGAAGAAGAGGAGGAGGTAGAGGAGGACATTGGTGCTCAGGAATTATTGAGTGAAATGGGTGGTTTTTCCACTCAGCGGACAGGAGTGGAGGAGCAGGAGCATCTGGTAGAGGAGGAGGAGGAGGAGACAGAGGACCCAGACGCACCGTGGCAGTATGCTGTGGAGATGGAGGCAGGGAGTCCCTCGCATTCCTTGGCACAAATGGCCCATAGCATGCTCGCGGTTGCTTGCGTAGCGACAGCCGAATAATAACCATCAGACAGAGGGATGACTTTTGGCTGTCCACCTTGTTGGACCCTCGCTACCGTTCAAAAATGGTGGCCTTTTTCACACCTGCTGAGAGGGAGGCCAAAATAACGTACTATAAAAACCACCTATGTAGTCAGCTGGTCTCTGCCTTTCTGCGCCAACGTCCATCCTCAGACACTGTGGGCCCTGTGCGCTCGCGTTCCGCTGCCATGGCAGCAGGGAGGGGTGGGGTGGTAGGAGCAGTGGCAGCTCCACCAGCAGCGGCTGCCTCAGTCTGCAGTCGATGATGAGTAGCTTTCTTCACCAGCGCAGTGAGGAAACTACTAACCAGCGCCGCAGCAGCAGCAGCAGCATCAGGTGGACCTGGAGCAGGACCTCAAACAACAGGCTTAGGCCTACTTGGACAGCACCCTGCCAACCGAGGTAGACAATCCCCTTGACTACTGGGCAACGAAACTTGACCTTTGACCCCAACTAGCTGAATTTGCCCTTGAAAGGCTGTCATGCCCGGCCAGTAGCGTGGCATCGGAGCGCGTGTTTAGTGCGGCAGGAGGTATTGCAACTCCGCGGAGGACACGACTGTCCACCCAAAGTGTGGAGAGACTCACGTTTGTGAAAATGAATCAGGCGTGGATTAGTCTGGATTTCAAACCACCAGTTCCTGACACAACTGACTAAATCCGCCATGAATCATGCCCCAAACATGTGCCACTTTCAGGTCTCCTCACACACTGCTTGTGTTTTCAATTTTTTGACATAGGGTGCTGGCAGATTACGGGCCTCCCATAGCTGCTGCCAGGCCCCTAATCTGCCATGGGCCCCTATACCGCCTCCTACCGCCTCCTCATGCTGCTCATGGGCCAGGCCTCCATTCCTGTCTCTCCATTCTCATGCCATGTGCCACTTTCAGGTCTCCTCACACACTGCTGGTGTGTTCAATTTTTTGTCATAGGGTGCTGGCAGATTACAGGCCTCCTATAGCTGCTGCCAGGCCCCTAATCTGCCATGGGCCCCTATACCGCCTCCTCATGCTGCTGCCAGGTCCACAGTCTCTCATGGGTCCCTGTACGGCCTCCCATTGCTGCTGTCTCCATCGCCCACTCTGCCATGTGCCACTTTCAGGTCTCCTCACACACTGCTGGTGTGTTTCCATTGTTTTTTTTGTCATAGGGTGCTGGCAGATTACGGGCCTCCCATTGCTGCTGCCAGGCCTGTAATCTGCCATGGGCCCCCGTACCGCCTGGTCACGCTGCTGCTGGGTCCACAGTGTGACATGGGTCCCTTGTACCGCCTCCCATTGCTCCCACTGCATGTGCCACTTTCAGGTCTCCTCACACTCCTGCTGGTTTCCATTTTGTCATAGGTTGCTGTATGGCCTCCCATTGCTGCTGCCTCCACCGCCACACTGTGGCTCCAAACACTGGTTTTGGCCCCGTGACTGGCCAAATGAGTGAAGTGTGCGGTGATTCTAAGATCGACGGCACTCATCTGCATGTCATACTGAGTGACAGTATTATTTCTCTTCCCCAGCAGACTCCAAGGGCATTTAAATTAAAGGTACAGTGTTCTGCACTAATATTAAGTCTCTCTGAAGCCTAGAAACACCCTTTTTTAAGTTAAATTCACAGCGAATTTATTCGACTCGAATCGAATATTGTCCACGAATTCGCCGAAGTTCAGTCGAATCGAATTTTTCATTTCTTCGCTCATCTCTAATCAGCACAACAGTTTGGGCAACTAGCATTTGTAGACATAGGGGGGAATTAACAAAAATTAACAAAGAGTAGTGCAAGCTTTATGGCTGTGCTACTCTTTTAAGCAGTTCAGCTGCATGATCTGATTTCTCTGTCCGCCCTCTACTCCCTGCTTAGGTTGTGGGAAGTTGCACTGTGGTGTGGTGATTGGCATTCAAGTGTTTACTGCAATCGGACTGCAAAGTTACAAACACCTTATCTGTAGAGCACAGCTAGCTAATCATTCACAGTTCAGTACAGTTCAAGTTGTGTTTGAGGAGAGATGCCAACAGTGTCTGTCTCAGAGGTAGGAGCATGGCCTGGCCAGTCCATTCCCAAGCAGGGAGGTTTCCTTCAGAATAACAAGACCCTAACCTGTCCTTTCTTGTCTGGAACCCTTCCTTACCGCTAAGTACATTCCCTAGCAAGCTGGGTCTCTCTCTGTACAGTAGGGCACTTGAAGAAAGCGTGCCAAAACCCAGGGGCAGGGACTGATCTAGACCCTGATGATCCAAAATGGCCACCAAGGGCCATATGGCTGCAGCGTAGCCAACTGGAATGCCGATCCATTGACCAAGGAAACCATAGAGAAACCATGTTTCCCTTGAATTCCTCTCCAGGCTATGGTACCACTATACTTGTAGGGGTTTTCTCCACTGTGGGTGGCGCTCAACCTGAGGGTAGGAGGAAGGCAGATAGGGCTCTACCAATGTAGTGTGCAGAGAGTCATGTAAAGCATATGTTTGCAGTTTGCATCATGTACACCAAGTTAGGTCTGATGGGGAACTGCGTCAGTTTTCTATATTGAAAACCTCCATAATTTCTTTGTTTAAAGTGGTAATAAAGTCATGTGCTTGATTTTTACCTATAGGTAAGCCTTATTACAGGTTTACCTATAGGTACAGTATATATCACTGAAAACATGCACCGTTTAGGAGATATTCACTCCAGTAATCTGTGCTGGGTTCTACATGGGGACTGTGCCGTCCATTCAGAATGCGCAGGAGTGACGTCATCATGGCCTGGTCATTTATGCAGCAGAAACCCGAAAACCCAAAAGGAAGACTGGGTGAAGATGGAAGTGCCAGGACCCGTGACAGCGCTCCGCTGGAAGGCTTCGCTTTCAGCTAAGTGCATAGTAGCACATTATGATATAAAAAAACCTGGGGGCCCAATTTTTTTTTTTTTCCTTGCTTTTGGTACAGTTTACTACTGCTTTAATTAGGTGCAGAAGCCTGACCAGTTTCTATTTAACTCTGAATTAGAAATTGGAACAAGCAGTGCAGACAGACCCAAAACCGTTCTTTCTGCTTTTCATGTAGAGAAAGCCACTCAGAACTATTTGCTGCACCATTATAATGGAACAAGAACCTTTGTTAATTCCCCCCCCATATTGAAAAAAGGGATAGGTATGTTTCTGGGCTTTCTTTTTATAACTTCTTATAAGAAACCTGCACAAACCAAAGATTATAATTGGTTAGCTGAAGCATATTCTGATTTTATATAGGTTACAGCATGCCATTGCTTTTTATGAAATACATTTGTTTGTGAAATGGTAATTTAAACTGTCTTACTTGATTTCATTCAGGTTTGTGACCATGAGCTGCAGTGTCGCTGCCAGGAAGGCTGGGAACCCCCTTACTGTGATGTCATCTCTAGAACCAGTATGTATATTGTATCACTGAGACAGACAATTAGCCCACCAGTGCACCTCTAATGATCAAAGTCCCCAATGTCAAAACAGGAATAAATGCCAGGCTCTTGCCATTCAAGTGTAATTCAATGGGCTATACTGATATTTATAGCATGACAGCTGTTAATTTCAACACTGAAAATAATATTCTAAAAACTGGCAATTTTGATGGCAAATAACACTCATTATATAGCATGGCAAATTCAGACTTTGGTTACTTAATGACAAGACCATTTCAGCTGAGATGTTAATAAGAATTTGACAGAGGAAGGTGAGAAGGCTGACAGTGCCACTTGGCTTGAAATCTGTGTCCTATTGGAGAGATTTCCCTTCACTTCCTTTCCCATAGCCAAAACAGAAGTTAGGGATTCCCTCACTTTGGAGGGATTTCCTCTAATTGTCACCAGGGTCACCAGAAATAGTGTCTCCATTCCGGTCTATTCCTTATTTGGAATTTTTCTTTACTTTTTTTATTGTCTAGAGTGAAAGCAAAACAGGACAAATAGAGAAGGTAGCAATAAAGACCTGCCAGGTGTTCTAATCCCTCGCCACTCTATCCAAAAACTAAAAAAAAGTTTGCTTTTATTTTTGAAGGAAACCCATACAGAGAGAAAAACTTATTCTACCATTACTGATCTCTTCTCCTAAATTAGATGCTACTTACTTGACTATATACAATTTATACTAATTGTTTGTAGACACCTGACCATTACTACTACTGTAGCTATATGGCCAAATTTATATTGGCACCCTCTGAATTATTGAGTTTGGGTGTTTCAAGTGAAGGGTACTAATAATGCTATAGCTTGAAAACATCTTAGACAACTGTGTGCTTACAACCTTGTGACAACAGTTTAAGGAAGGTCATTAGTTGTTTCTAGCATGGCTCTGCCCCTAAATACAAAGCCAGTTCCATAAAGACATGGGGTTTGATTTACTAACAGCAAATAGAATGTTAAATTTGCAAGGGAATTTTCCCCAGAGCTAAGTGAATGAGATGAAGCTCGGCTGACCTCCATCATCCAAGCATGTGCAAGCAAAAATTACTGTTTTTTTTTTTTTTTTTGTTTTCCTTGCATGCGATTGGATATTCTTTGCAGATATAATTTCACCACATAAATTCCCTTGCAAAGTGCAACAGCTCTTGCAAACTAACCAGCTTATTTGCTTTTGGTAAATCAACCCATGGTGTTATGAGTTAGGTGCCGAGGAACTTGAGCGACCTGCACATAACACTGACATCACTTCTATTGAACACCTTTAACATAAATTGACATGCCGATTTGTGAGCCAGGTCTTCTCACCCAATATCAGTACTTTAGCACATGAATGCTCTTTTTGGCTGAATAGAAATGAATTCCCACAGGCACACTCTAAAATATTGTGGAAAGCCTTTCTAGAAAGTGAATGATGCTAAAACCTGCAAAACGGCAGACCAACTCTATTAGTTTTTTTTTTTTTTTTTTTTGAATGGCAAAGTTAGGCAAGCTCATATTAGTGTGTTGGTTAGGTCTTCACAAACTTTTGCTCATATAGTGTGTCCTTTGAATGGCTTGAATACTTTTGCAGCCACCACGCATAACAAATATGGAATGTCCTGACTTCCCTGTCTGCTTACTTACTTCTAGTCAATGGCCCAAAAAGTATTAAAGCCACAGGACCATTACAGTCAAACTAGCATATTTGGGTATTGACTGCACACAAATATTTCCTACTTTTTTTTTTTTTTTCTCTGTTTCCTTATAGCAAGCAATGAAAGTAATGACCATCTTTGTAAATGGGGGAATGAGCTTGTAGGCATCTGCAGTCTCTTTTATCCACTGTATGTGGAGCTCAAACTGCAGCGGTATTGCAGAGGGAGAGGAAGTTAGGAGGAAGTTATTCTTCTGTGGTTTCTTGGGTCACTGGGAAGTGATCCGTTTGGATAACGCTGTCCCATGTGACTCTGAAGACAGAGTCTATTTCAAACCCTGGCTCCTGGTCTGGGCACGCATTTTGCGAGTGGACAGTGTAGGGCCAGGTTACCTGTCTGTCAGAGAAAGTAAATAGTGGTGGGGAAAAGTTCCAGGTGAGTAGGGACAGGATAGGTACATGCTATCCTTCCTAGGAATCCTCCCCATTGGGCTAGGACTGGCCAGGACACATTCCACCCTTGGAGATAGGTGCTGTCAGTGCAACAGAATGTGTTTTCCACTCTGCAGTGTTGCACAGAACTATGAGTGTTCCCAGCTGGGTACCTTCTTGCTGGTTTGTTTGTATCTTTGAGCCGTTTCTTCAATACAAGTTTTGCCAACTGCAACCAGACTCAGTATGTTTCACTTCCGCCGCACACCACGCTACACCCACCCACACTCTAAAATCTCAAAAGGAGAAGGTGGGGAAGTGTGTACCCTACCAAAGTCCTCTGAAGTCTGAAGGTCCTAAAGAAGCGAGTAAGGAGTTTTTTCCAGGACTGGGTGACGTGGCATTAGATTTTACCTGTGCTATCACTTATGGGGAAAATTTCATATTGTGGCATCACCATTTTGAAAGGTTCTCTATGAGAACCATTACTGAAAGATCAGTATTCAGAGCTCAACATCAACACAACAAGGTTCTGCTATTGCTTCCTAAGGTGTGGGTAGTGGGTATAAACATAGGCAAATTTGTGACTCCATTTTTGTGTAAACCATAAAAAGCCACAGTAGCTGTAGTTTAATGCAGAATAACATTACCTTATGTTAGATGACCAAAAAAAAAAAATTGCATCTCATAATTTAGCGTCCCATTCTCCTAATTAATTCTTTCTTTGTCTTTCCAGATATTGTGCTCATCGTGGTTCTGGTCTTGATCTCCATAGCTCTGCTAGTTGGACTGGTGTTGTTGCTGGTGTTCCGCAAGAAATTAAAGCGCTGTGGACAAAAGTACGAGCAGCTGTGATAAAAACATGAATGAACGATAGATATAGAGAATAATAAACCACAAATTTAGTCTGTACATGTGGGGAAACGGACCTGGTGAGGTTTCCTAGAGCAATAGGAATCCTTTTTTGCATTCTTTAATCTGCTGCCCCCCCCCCCCCCCAAAAAAAAATATATTTCTGGAAGGTGATCAGAAATGTTAATACTGGTGTATTTTGACATCCTAATTCCTCCTAAATGCTCCGTATGGCATTT